GGACCACAATTTAGGTCCCCACCGTGACACGAGTCCCCATGAGTCTGTGTGTAGTCAGGTTTAAGTCCCCACCAGGATATATAAACCAGTACACTCTCACACACACTCACACACACACTCACACACACACACACATTCACAAACACAAACTCACACACACACACATTCACTCACTCCCTCACACACACACACACACACACACACACACACACACACACACACTTCAGCCACACTGTAATCCAGCATCTGGGTGTGTTTCAGTGTTAGTGCACATATGCAAACACACACTCACACCAGTGTTTCCTGCACAACAGTGATGGCCACTGCTGCTCTTCAGAAGTAGGAAACACACCTCACTTATCAAGGACAAAGTGTCAACTGTTTGCTACAAGCAATGTTGCTTCTAAAAGCAGCTTCACAAACTATTAAATTACTGAATGAAATAACTGACTAAAATCAAGGTGTCTGTACTTTGTAGCAATGCTATTTTAGTATCATTGATATACTATGATAGTTTTTGTTAATATTTTGAGTTGTATTTAATTTTTATATTTTCTGATTTCACTTTAATTTGAGTTAAAGTTTTAGTAATTTTGTTGTGTATTTCTGTCATTTTTATTATTATTTTTTTAAATATGTCTATATAGTTTTTATTAATTTATCTTTATTTGTTTTAGCTTTTACTTAGCTTTACTTATTTTAGTATTTGAAGATAACCTAAACAAAAATGAGACTGGAGTTTTTAATATCTTATTTGATTTCAGTTCAAATTTTTATTTTATTTCAAGTAACAAAATAGTTTTTCTGTGGTTTAAGTTTTAGTTAACTACATAATACATATGACAATAATAAAAAAATTTAAAATAAAAATAAATAAAATAATAAATATTGTCTAACTCTTTCACAGTTATGTTACAAATGACATTTTTTAAGGTTACAGAAACTTAATTTTGTCTAATTTCTAACTGGTTGTTCATATGACAGCCTATAGTTAAAGACACATAAACGAAAAAAAAAAGAGTTTTGTTATTATAAATGGTATTTTTATCAAATAACAAATAAATTAAATTTTATATTATAAATAAAACAAAATAAAAAGAATAAAACAAAATAAAACATGAAATGAAAAATGAAATAAAAATAATAAAATAAAATAATAACATAAAAAAAATAGTTATTAGTATAGCCAGTTTTTATATTACTACTAAAATAAAAATGATAAAACAAAATAAAATATAAGATATAAAAACAAAATAAATAAAATACAATAAAACAGAATAATTAATATTATAGTAATTGGTATAGCCAGTTATTATATTAATACTGGTGTGTATAAATAGAAATGAACATTTCTTAATAAATGGAAACTTCAGACTCTTCATTCTGTTTGGATGCAAACCTTTGCAGATTCTTTGATACTGTGCCCACCTATCAGCTTAATAACTATATTATTTGGCATAAGCTTGTTCATTCTGATTACTCATAAACTGCTGTGGTTTCTGCTTTAGTATGTTTGTTTGGACTCTCTGTCCCTGTCGCCCACACTCTCGGTCTATGAGCAGTCATGATGCAGTTCAAGTGTATTTCTCCCACACAAACAAACAAGCACTGCTCAGGACAATCAGAGACGGCCAGTGCTGAGACTCACCGGATGCTGCATGATGTAGGGCTGATGGGTGACCCAGGATGGATTCTGTACCTGAATAATAAAATACAGATTATCAGCGTCCCTTAAGACAGTTCTGATGCATCCATCTCTGAGACCTCGATCGGTCTGTAAGCAGTAAAGTTTGATCTGAACTACACATTATGTTACCTGGTATGTGGACATAGGCGAGATGTATGGAGAAATGGGGGTCTGTGTTATCATTCTGTTTGTAATACTGTAGGCAGTCGGATAGAATCTGTAGAAAGATAAAAACGGCATATTTAAGCAATAATGTATGAGAGGCTGTGCAATACTATGAATATTATTATTCATATGAAATGAACATGTTAAACTTTGAAAAACTTGGTACCTTGACGGCTAACTGAAAAAACAACAAAAAAAATAAAATAAAAAAAGATATATAAATAAATAAAATCCCTTACTGAAAAAAAAATACCCTTAAATAAAAAAAAACTGAGTTGGAAAAATGAAAAGAAAAACCTAAACTTTAAAAAAAAAATTAAATTAAATTTAGAAAGGTTGCCTTGGCAATTAACTGAAAAATAAAATAAAATAAAATAAAGAGTTTCTAAGAGCTGGAAATATACAATTTAATGACTGTTGTTCCCAAAATAAAACTACTAAAACTAATTAAATTACTAAAATTAAACTACATTTTAAATAACTAAACTACTAAAATTAAAATAAAGCTGAATTAAAATAATCAAACAAAAAATTTTAACCTAAAAAACGTAAGCCAAAATTTGAAATGCAGAAGTACTAAAATTACTAAACCAGAAATAAAATGCATTAAAGTTCAATAGAAATAACAAATACTAATAATAAAAATTACAAAAAGCACATTTACAATTACTAAAACGTGAACTAAAATTAAAATGAAAAGAGAAACTATAAAAATAAAAGCTAATTCAAAATACTAATTAATACTATACTAGTATTTAAATAATACTACAATAACACTGGCTCTTTCTCAGGACTCTTGTTGTCTCGTACCCATTTTGCATAGCAGCTGTGGTTGGGTCGTATGTGAGTGTCATGCCAGCCTATGAGACAGAAAGAGAGAGAAATAAAACATCATTCTCACACCATTCAGCTCATAGCTGCTCTTGAAGTGTTGAAAATGAAGTCAAAAGTGTTGTGCCACTTATAGCTTGTGAATCATGTGAACCTGGGAAGAAATGATTTCATACATCCACTAAAAGACACTGAGCAAAAATGATGAAGAAAAGTGTTAGTTAAAAAGTAAGTGAAGGGAAAAGCTCCTGCAGCATTTCAACACAGATACAGACTTGCTTTGATACTTTGTTAGCGAATGCAATGAAGCTATATCATTAAGTGGGGCTACCGTACTTGTCAAATAACATAAAACTGAAAACAAATGACACTACTGCCCTCCGCTCGAGTTTGTAGCCAAATAGTTCATGTTGTCACAGCCATATCAACATGTGGAAAAGCTTTTAAGATGTTTCTTCTCGCTGTGGACAGAATCTGACACTGTCCAGTCGAGTGCTGCGGCATGCGTGGATAAAACCTGTGAAACTGCATAAGGTTTAATGAAATGATCTGGCGTGACAGAAAACCCAGCGTGCTGTAATTACATGCCATCCATGGCTTGCACATGATAAGGAGAAAAAATGAAACCGTTCAAAGTAATTTTCATGTGATTTCAAGTGATGTGATGTGATACATTTTCCTACTGATTTTCTTTTTATGAATGGTCATGTGACACTGTGAACACTGAACACAGGAGCGTGACTCACTCTGCTCCAAAACCTAGTGAGCTGACTATACAGGCAGTATTTTAAGGGGAAATTTGTGTGAAATCACATGGAGGTTGATTATAAATATGAATAATTAAATCCCAAAGAGTAGTGATCCATATACATACATACACACATTTTAATTTAATTTATTTTATTTTGATCACTGCTCTTTGGGACTAGTTAATGACAAAATCACTTCAAGATAGCGGACAAAGCAAAATAAATGTTGATTATCAATATGAATAATTAAATCCTGAAGTGAATAAAATTAAATAAAATTAAAAATTAAATAGAAAAAAAAAGAATATTATAGTAATACTGGTGTGCAGAAATGAAAGACACATTTCAGACACAGAATGCATTGCAACAAAATCACTTAAAGATGGCAGACAAAGAAAAAGACATGTTGATTATAAATATGATTAATTAAATCCTGAGGAGTACTGATCAAAATAAAATAAAATAAAATAAAATGAAAAATATATAGAAAATAAGAATAAAATAATGAAAAACAATAATAAAATAAAATAAAAAAATAGGTTATTAATACTGGTCAAATCACTTCAAGATGTCAGACAAAGCTAAATAAATGTTTATTATAAATATGATTAAATCCTGAAGTACTGATCAAAATAAATAAATTAATTAAATTAATTAATTACATAAAATAAAATATTGGTTATTAATACTGGTCAAATCACTTCAAGATGTCAAACAAAGCTAAATAAATGTTTATTATAAATATGATTAAATCCTGAAGTACTGATCAAAATAAAAAAAATAATAAAATAAAACAATAAAATAAAATAAAATAAAAAATAAGTTATTATATTAATACTGGTCAAATCACTCAAATCAAGAAGTCAGACAAGTAAAACAAACGTTGATTAGAAATACAATTAATTCAATCCCAAAGAGTAGTGATCAAAAAACAGATTTACAAAATATCGGCGTGCTATGGTTTTTAATACCAGTTAGAGTCTCCCATCACAAATCAGTCACTTATGAGGGTACATTTCAGTTCACTAGGTTTTGGAACAGAGCGAGTGTCATGATGGGAAATGACAGGTGACTAAGTAGTTTACACACACACACACACACACACACACACACACACACTTCTCAGTATCACTTCTGTGGTTCACGTAATATATGACTGTACTGGTGTAGCTTGTATAAACACACACACACCCACACATCCCTGCTGTCCATGTGTTCACTAACAAGCTGCTGCAGGTAATATATGTCCGTAATAAGTGATCCGGACACATAACATGGTGGTGAGAGCAAAAGAGCAGTACTCACAAGTCTGGTTTCCCCATCTCTGGCCCAGGCTCGTCCGTTCTGCGCATATTTATTTAGACTCTGACGCTTCTTCTGGCCTCCGTCCGCAAACTTGCACAGCAAGGGTTCTGATGGCGCTGCAGACACACACATGAACTCTCAGCGTGATGTTGACTGCTCGCTCAACGCTTTAACCAAAACCATCATAGTGTGACAGTAGAAAAGGCTTGAGATTTTGTTAAACTCCAGTACAACTGCTTTACGCTACTCAGTGCATTAAACATGGAGTGACATTTTAGCAACCTCTGAAACGACTTTCCTTTTGGATGACATCACAAATGCCTCATATTTTTAGCCCCTCCCCCTCTGATTCCGTTCTGGTATTGTATATAAAACCCACTTTTCACAATCCGGCACAAATATATCAGCACCATATCAGGTGAATATGGCCATTGTTTGATTTAATTTGTTTCTGCCTATTTCAAGATTTAAGATTCATTATCTAGCACTAACTTAAAATGATAACGCTAGAAAAAGATTGAAACCTTTAGGAGTTAAATCTTTTGAAGATTTTAGTGTAACATTACTCTGCTCTTAAAAGGAAAGTGCTTTACTTAATTATTACGCCACATTAGAAAAAAAGTAATGCTTTGGTAAATCATAATTATGAGATTAAAAAGCCGCAATTATGAGACAAGTAATTGTTTTTTTGTTATAATTATCAATTTTTTTTTTTTTTTACAATTTTGACTTTTTATCTCAGAACTATGACTAAGAATGTCATAATTCTCATAATTACGACTGTCATAATTTTGACTTTTTGACAATTATGACTTGTTTTATCTCATAACTATGACTGAGAATGTCATATTGTTGACCTTTTATCTCATAATTTCAACTTTTTATGAATTACAAAAAATATGATTTTTTTTCTTGTGTGGTGTAAACTTCAAATTAATTTTAAGTTGTTTTTATTTGGTTTTAATTTTAAATTTTAATTTAGACTTAAAAATATCTGCCATTTATTGGTTTTCAGCCATAACATTTACTGTCCTAATTTGGACTTTTTATCTCATAATTTCAACTTTATGTCCAAAGTATGTCATAATTCAACTTTTTATTGATCAAAGTAGGTTTTTTTCATACGTGTTGGAAACTTCAAAATAATTTGTATTTATTTTTATGTTTTATTAAGTTATGTGTCTTTTTTTTTTTTTCTTATGGATTTAGTCTGTCTCAGTTTGTTCTGTTTCTTCATGTCATTCCAGACAGACTGGATGATGATGAGATATGTTTTTTTTTTTTATTTTTGTTTTTTTTTTTTTTTTTTTTTTTTTTTAACAAGTCAAGATATTGGTTATCAGCCATAACATTATGACTGTCATATTTGTTTACATTTTATCTCATAATTATGACTTTTTATGTTATAATTATGACACTTTATTTCATAATTATGACTTATTAAATATTTTTTTCTTATGTGGCAGAAATGTGTTTTCATAACTTAAAAGTAATTTTTATTCTGTTTTATTAAGTTTCATGTTATGTTTCTTTTTCAAGATAGATTTGCAATATCTACTAATCACTGGCTTTCGGCAATAACATTTAAATAATTACAGCATCAGCCACAATTTCAGAATTGGTGCATCCCTAATTCCTGTTGCATAAAACCCTGTATTTTTCCACACTGAATATCAATGTTGCATGAAGAAACACGTCTAATTATGGAGGTAAAATGGGATGCAAACATCAACTTCTAATGCTGCAAACTGCAATGTTGCTTTGCTGCAAGTTATATTTTTTATTATGTTATACATTTTAAACTTTTATCTCTGTTTCTTTGCTGCACATGCAAATAACTGTCGTGTGACTCTATATACTGCAGAATAAACGGTACAGCAAAATCTCCACCAGTTATATGCCGTCATCTCAAGGCCCTCTGAGGCTTCCTGGCTCCATCGGCAATGGCTTTCCCACAATGCTTAGAGAGCAGGCATCTAATTTGGAAGCTGTCTTCATATAATCCCCTTCCTTCCTTTCTGACACGGTCAGTGGAGACTATTTCAGTCTAATAATCCAATTAAAATGCTTAGAGAGGCCACGCCAGGCCAGTAAGAGAAAATTAGCACACATTGCGTTCACTTGAGCCCCAAATGAGCCTCCACTAATCAATAAGCTGAATCATGCCCATGTAGCTCCTCCCAGCTCTGTAATTTCAGCATTTCGTGCAGCGAGTCTAAATCTACATTCGTGCAAAAGCCGTTTGGTATGGCTGAATTGTTGCACCACATGCCCGAAAGCCTGTTTCCATTTAGACCCCATCCGAGGAGAATCATTACCAGAGAATGAATGAATGTGCTCGAACACAGCAGCGTTGTGTCTTTATGCACAAACAAAACACACATTATAGTAGTGGTTCACCCAAACATGACAATTCAATCATTTACTCCTATTGCATGCAGAAAAGTGGCAAGGATATCCTTCAGAAATGTAACCTCTCCTTTTGTGGAGGAAAGAAAAGTCATGCATGTTTGGAAACAACATGAGGGCGAGTGAACGCTGACATATTTAAAAAAAAAAAAATTTTTCATGAACAACTGCATTAAAGTAAATGTGAAGCATGCAGATGCACACTTACCCATAACTCCAGCTGGTGTTTTGAGAAATTTCCCGTTGAAGTGAGAGATGACAGCTTCACATTTCTCCGTCGACTCCATCCTAGAGAAACAGATTACCGGTTTAAAGGTTTACACATTTCACTCTCGGTTTGAATATAAAACATCATTCCCATCACCTGCACCAGCTGTCAATGTTGAGAAACATGTTAAAGTCATATGAAGAATAGCTAGGGGATTTTGCATTACTAAACTAAAGCATAATGCACTCATCTTAATGCATTACCTTATAGTTTCATGATCCTTTTTGTTCTTTTCCTGACATTTAAACTTCAGTTAGAGTTGGCAAGTTTGATTCATTTCAGTGAATCATTTCAAACTAGGGATGCACCGATACCGACACTGGTATCGGTATCGGGCCCGATACTGGTCTCCTGTACTCGTACCTTTTGGTTTCTGTACCCAATATTTAAAAAAATTTACAAATGCAATAAAAATATCGGTATCGGCAAGTACCAAAAATAAAAGTATCGGTATCGGGCGAGTACTGGAAAAAGTGGTATCGGTGCATCCCTATTTCAAACTGTTCATTTTAGTGAATCAGTTCAAAACTCTGATTTAATGATTAATGTGTGGCATCACTCAAAAATGTCTCTGCAAGGCATTTTTACGAATTAAAAAGTTTAGCAAAAATGTATGTAGTTAAATATTGCTGTTAATTTCTATATTTTGTTATATCCGTGCATATAAATCTTGCTTCAGTTCATTTAGAGTGGAAAACATGCTCGGATTATTTTAACTGCAAACAAATACATTGTAATCAGTTTCAAAATAAATACAGAAATTTGTACAAACTGAGATTTTCATAAATGTTTAGGTATGCCGAGCTTTGAAACCCATATCAACAAAAGTTTTGCTAATATATTTTGTTTATCATTTAAAATATGTCATTATTTATATTTATATCATTATTATTTGAAAACCTACTTCTGATTAAATAAACCAGTTCAGTTTTCTTTAAGGGGTTTTTCACTCAAATGAGCAGGAATAACCCTTAGGTTAGTACAATCAAGTCATCAAAAGAGGGTAGAAATTGACATTTTTGTGAATGTTTAGATATGCAGAGCTATGAAAATCATAAAGACATGTTTTGCCAATGCATTCTGTGTTTATCAGTAAAACTCATTTCATAATTTATACTTATATCATTGATATCTGAAAGCATACTCGAAACTCATTCATCTGATTAGATAAACCAGGTCAGGGGTTTTTCACTCAAGTGCGTGAGAATAGCAATTCGTACAATCAAGTTTTTACTTGTCATAAATTTACAAAGAGAAGTTCAGGGAGTTCAGTTTCCTGGCTTTGCCGTGCTGATATGTCAGATGCACAGCTATGTTTTCAAGGAACTGACTGGCACTAAGGATCATGGGAGTGTCTGAAGTGTTTGTGTTGCGGCGGGCACAACGCCAGGGGCTTTCCAGGACGCATGATTCCCTGACCGACGCTGCAGACTTGAACCATGGTTGGTACATTGAAGGGGATTTCACAAAGAACGATAGCGTGACAACAGGAGTTGACCTGGTGATTTGGGGTCAGATACAAGACCCTCACCTTGCAAATCCGACCCCTCGGCTGCCGCCGTTGGTGTCCCGCAGGACGCGTGTGGAGACGACCTGTCCGAAGGGCTTCAGCATGGCCTCTAACTCCTGTTCATCCATGGTCAGCGGCAGGTTAGATATGTACAGGTTAGTGGGGTCCTGCTCTTGTTGCTGTCGGGAGAGAAAAAGAAACAAAAACGGTGAAACTTTTGCCATTTTATTTGGTTTCCTGATGAAAAAGTCACTGATTAATAGAACCAAAATGAGCTTAACTCATATTGAACCTGGAACATTTGTGTAAAGAAGAATAATTACTGTTATTTTTAGCATAAGTAGATTACACACACCTGTAAAAACACCTCAGATCTTATCGTTCAGTTCATTCACACACTGCCGGAGCTCCGTCACTGTTTATACACACTTTATCAGTTAACGGAAGAACACCTGGAGATCTGACAACAGAAATCACTGGCCATCCACATCTGCCAGTCAATAATCAGCTGGTTTCAAAACCTAGCATGCTGCATGCATGAATGCCTTCTTACATGTCCCAACAAACTCAAAGAGACAAGTAGTCTGTCTGCTAAATACATAATATAATCACGACCGATCAGAATTTGATGTTTAAAATTCAGTTTTGCGGAACTAGATTTTGAACCAATTGGATTTGACTGTAGGCGGAGCTACCCAGTGCAACATAGGACAAATAGAATCCAAGCAGCCAAAAAATTCCCTGTCCTAATAATGTATAATAGAGTAGAATAGGCATTTTAGACAATTTAGGCAGTTTTTAATTAGACTGAACTACATTTTAATCCATATATGTATGTACGTATATGCTTCATATCTTGGGGAATCTTTTTCATTGAGCATATTAATATAATCAGCATATTAGCATAATAAGCACAAATATTAATCAAATATATAAATACTGAGTATTTAATATATATTTAATATATAATAGTCTAACATAAAATATATATCATAAAAAAATATTACAAATTATTAGGCTTAACATCTGCAAAATACAGAACTAAATTTATGTGTGTGTGTGTATGTATATATATATATATTTTTTTTTTTATTT